TCTTCCTAGTTCCAGGTTCAGTGATGTCACATAGTTTGAAACCTGTTTAGACTGTGGAAAGTGACAAATGCTACAAGTCTGAATCCTTAACTTATGGATCAGCTGATGAATACTTGCCAGCACACCACTAGTTGCATTAAAAAACTAAGAACATGCCAGAAAACAACCGACATTTAGAAAGACTAAACATCAGTTTCAAAAATCATTATCAAATTAAAATAATCAGTACTTATTATCTGGCAGAAGGAATATTAAATGACTTCTAGAAGAAGATATGTTAGAGCTAGAATCTATAGGATTTTTTGTTTTTGTTTTAGAAACAATGATCATCATTCAATATAAAATTATCAGATACATGGACAGAGAGACAAATGACCCAAATCAAAAGAACAGACCAACATTAGATGTAGACATTAGAGAATTCCAAGCAGACTTTAAGACATCTGAGTTAAATATAAAAGAAAACCAAATGCATGTAATCAGGACACTAGAATCTATGAAAACAAATCAAACAATAATTCCAGAAGTAGAAAGTAAACTAAATAATATAGAAATCTCATAGATTTCCTAAGAGATTAAAAACAGATCCAGAAAGGATCAATGAATTAGTACTTGAAAAATCACCTGGAGACACAGACTATGAAGGAATAGGTGTCATCATGAGGCCCAAAGTCTGCATTTTAAGCAGTCTACTATTGACTGGATCTTGACTATTCTGTAAAGGACATTACTACAGTTTGGTCAATAGCCTGCGGCACTATGGGGAGGTGGTGAAACCTGTAAGGTGGGGTGTCGTGAGAGGAAGTTAGGTCACTGGTGGTACGCAGCTGAAGAGGATGTTGGGAGCCTACACTCCTACTGCCTTTTGCTCCCTGGCTGTCAGGAGGTAAGAAACCTCTTTTACCACACAGCCTTTTCCATGGCTGACTGCCTTTTCACAAGACCAAAAGCAATGGGCTAATTGAATATGGACCGGAAGCTGTGAAACTATGTGCCAAAATAAACCTTTCCTGTCATGTTAGTCAGCTTTCCATTGCCTTGACAAAACAGTTGAGAAAAAGAATCTAACGGGGAAAGGTTTACTTTGGGTTATAACTTTCAGAGTTCTGGTGTAAGGTAAGCAGGCTCCACTGTTTTTAGACCTGTGGTGCTGCAGAAACATCATGACAAAAGAGTACCGTGGAGGAAAAATGCTCACTTCATGGCAGCCAGGAAGCCAAGCGGGTGAGAGCCCGAGAGTATTACTGGAGATCATGCCTCTATAACACAATCCCTTCAACTCTACAAACGTTTCCAGAAAAATGAAGGGGAAGAAATGTTTCCTAACTCATTCCATGAGGTCAATGTTACTCTGACACCAAAGTGAAGGTATTGTGGGAAAACCGTAAGATCACTATCATCCATGAACCAAAACACAAAAATTCTCCACAAAATATACCAAGAAAACAGAAACTATATGTCAAAATTGCCTTTTTTTTTTTTTTTTTTTTTGTACTGGGGATTGAATTCATGACCTCACACTTACCAAGCAAGTGCTCAAAAAACTTTGACCAAAAAAACAAAAACAAAAACTTTATCCTAGGAATGGGACATTGATTTAAAGTCTGAAAAATCATAGTTCACAATATTAACAGACTTGGACCAAAATCCACAATATATCTTTATTTTAATAAATGAAACAAAAAGATATGATTAATTTCAGTACTATTCACCATGAAAACATACCTGTGCAATTGCATACACATACTCTGAGGAAATAGAAAAGAACTCAAATCCTCATGCTACTATGCTAACTTACATACTTAATGTAGAATTATGAAAATTTTTCCTTCTAATTGGAAAGACAGCAAAGATGAATAATTCTATTCATCAGTGTAATGGATATTTTGTCCAGAATAATAAGATAAGAAAAAGAAAAAAGGAAACTTTAACTACCAGATTACTTAACTACATATACAGAAAATGTAGAGACACAAAATCTTTTTTTTCCCTTTTTTTTGGGGGGGGGGGTACCGGGGATCGAATTCATGACCTCGCACTTGCCAGACAGGTGCTTTTGCTGCTAAGCTAAATCCTTAGCCTCGAGAAACAAAATCTTAAAAAAAAAAAAACTATTAGAAATACCAAGTAAATTAATGCATGTAATTTTAGTAACACTTCTACATAGCAATAATGAAAAATAAAAATCTTTTTATAGCATCAAAGAAGCTATGCAAGAATAAATCTAATACTTTAAATGACATGCGAGAACTTGTATACAGAAAACTATAAAACATTACCCATACAAGTTGAAAATCAGAACAAATGAAGAAACATACTTCATTCAAAAGGAGAAAACTTGATTTCAGTGTTAACTGCCCTCGAGTTGATCAACAGAATTACTACCCAAGTTTATTAAAATACCAGCATGATTTCAGGTAGAATTTGCCAGATTTTGAAAAGCAAAGGAATAAAAAATAGAACAATTTTCAAGAAAAATCAGCCGAAATAATTATACTGCTGTTAGTAAGACTTACTATAAAGTTATGATAATTAATCTTTTGGATTGTTAGTAAGATTAACAAACAGACCAAAGGATCAGAAGAAAGCCCCTGGAAAGACCTACACAGGTTCAGACACCCAATTTATTATAAAGGTAATCAAGCAGAGCAGGGAGGTAAGTGACTGACTCAAACGGACACCTTCACAGGGGGAAAAACATCAACTCCTTGACTTTTCCTTACTCCTCAAACACTCCTCAGACCTTAAATAAAAAATGAGTCCTGGTTGGATCAGAGATATAAAGGTAAGAGGCAAACTGGTACAACTTCTTGACCAGGACATTGAAGGGTACCTTCATGATGGTGTGGAAGGAGTAGATATTTCTCACACAGCACACAAATACAAAAAGGAAAATAAAATAATCTATACTATATTGTCATTAGGAAAGTCTAGTATTCAAAAAAGTATGAGAATAAAAAAAACTGTTTACAGAAAGAATCAAAAAATTTAAATTAGCATGACCTACAAATGACTTGTTTCCATAGTACATACATAACTTCCATAAGTCAGGGGCTGAGGAATAAATCAAACTAAAAGTCAGGTGGTAAATGGGCAAAAGATCTGAGTAAGTACTTCTGGGAAAGGATATCCAAATAGACAATAAGCATATTGTTACACTAGTTACAGGGAAATAAAAACCACAACTAGATTACATTACATCACCATCAGAACGAGTGCATTAACTTTAAAAGTATAACAAGGCCAGGTGCTAGCAACTATGTGGAGAATTTAGCATTTTTATGCATTGATGTTTAGGAATGTAAACTATTCAACTATTTGAGAAAACTACTTGGCAGTCTCTAATGAAGTATCTCAACTGCATTTTCTACGATGTAGCAATTATATTGCTAGCTACACAGCTAAAATGTTCACACACCATTGAAAAACAATAAAAACAAGTTTGTTGACAGCTGTTTAAGTAGCATCACTAGTATTAGGATGTTAAAACTGTCCATTTCTCCTTTACTGGGATGGATAAATCATGATGTATGCATGTAATGGAACACGAGATAGCAAGGAAATCGATCAACTGCAGTGAATTTCAAAAATACAGCAGATTCAACAACATAATGTTAAGGAAAACAAAATTTAAACACTGATAAATTTGTTCAGTTCTATTTAGTTTAAAACACTAATGCACAGTGTTCAAATGAAGGAAAGTAGTTTCTTTGGGGATGGGAGACATAGTCATCCATGAAAGCATGATACGACCTCTGTCTTACTTAATAAGGTTCTATCTCTCTGTCTGGTTACACCTGAGCATTTACTTCATGAAAATGTACAACTGCTGTAAATGATGGTAAGATTTGTATATGGAAAACAATAAAGCATTACTTTGCTGCTCTAGTACAAAAAACTATAGAGAAGCAAAGTTTTAAGAAACAATGGATTAGGGCAGGGGATTTAGCTCAGTGGCATAAGTGCCTGGCAAACACAAGGTCGTAAGGTTGATCCCCAGAACAAAAAAAAGAGGAAAGAAACAATGGATTGAAGTATGAGAGGAAGCATATCAGCAGTTAAGGATAAAAAGAGAAGATGAATACAGAAAGGTGAACAGGAATTTAGGCATGCTGATGAAACTTTTCTACACCTCAAATGTAATATGGGTTATACTACTGTATGCATTTGTCAAAATGCATAGGACTATACACTGAAAAGAGTGAATTTTGTTGGAAATACATCATAGCTCCAATAATAAACAATTTAGAAATCTTCTTGAAGCTATTTTTACAATTTCTCATGTTCACTCAATGAATCTAGAAATGGATATTTATTTTGAGACCATTAATTTCTGAGGCATCCTGGGAAGCAGTTTGCCTTACTAGATCCCAGGCTTATTCACACTCATTCGAGTCGTGTTATGCCACTGTACCTGTGAACCTGAAAAGAGGAAAGTAAACTGAGGCTCCATGTGAATACAACACACATTTGACATAGATGGGTGAAGAGGCAGCCATCAAATCTCTCTGTTGGAGAAGTAGGAAAACCATGAGACTTCCAGCTTATGATAAGAGCTCTTAAGAAGCAGGGAAACATGAAACTTCTTTGCTCTAGACATTAATTTAATTGTATATGCTAGTTTATTTTTCAGTGCTGCGGGGTGAAGCCAGGGCCTTCTGCCTGCTAGGCAAGCTCTCTACCACTAAGTAACACCCCTAGTCTATGTTCAGATATATTGTGAATTTTGAAACATCTAAAAACCTATTTTACATATCCAGGCAAATCCTAGTAATTTGTAGTTTTTGTTTTCCATGGTGGTATCTAAACCTCACTCCTGAAAAGAAGAAAAAGATGACATTTAGCAGCTTTTAACTGTTCCGCAGCTTCCCCATTGCAAATTTTCCAAGTATTTTGTAGCTGAAGGGTTACACCCTGAACAAGTGGTGCTCGCCATATAATCCTGCTGGGTTTTTATAGAAGTTGGCATAAACTAATACTTCATAAGGAAAATTTCTCACCACTTGGGCTGGAACTTGTTCCATTTTTGCAGCAGGAGTTCCTGGTCTTGGGTAAAACTGGTTAATGAAGAGGCTTGGAAATTTGTACTCTTCAACAAGTTTCACTGTTTCTTGAAAATCCTGATCTGTTTCTCCAGGAAAACCACAGATAATATCTGTAGCAATGGTTATTCCAGGAACTCTAGAAAATAACAGACAAAAATATAAAAAGCTGACAACAATCCATAATTATTCTATTTTCCAGACAATTCAAATACCATTAATTTCAAAATTACGTTTTATTTTTAGCAAAGAGATAAGTTGCGAAAGCCCAAAATACTAAACATTTAAAAAGAAAAACAGTTGCTCCTTATCATACTCAAAGATTTCCATTTTTAATTCTTACAGATGTTCCTTTATTCTTTCCTCTCTATTTTTAAAAATAGATGCTTACTCTCTTGTTTCTAGATTTATTAAATTTTAGGCAACATTTACTGACTACTCTACTATGATAAGTGAGATTTAGCTCTTAAAGTAATCGAACCCTTCTCTCACCAACATAATGAGCACACAATTTCCAGTTGAATTAATAGTATCTTCAGTGGTACAGCTGCAAAGATATTGCTCACTGCAGAGAAAAAAAACAAATCAAGATTTTCCTTTCTGGAAATCCTCTTTCTCCTTTCTTCAGGTGTGTAAGTTTTTTTTTTACTATTAACTGGCTATTATCCTTGGGTTGTGCTCTTTAGTCTCCTTTTGTTCAACACTTTTTCCTGGATCCTGGATCCTCTTAATTCTTGAAGAACTTCCCCCGCTGCAGTGAACTTGCACTGCAAGCACGGTACTGTTAGGTCTTAACAGTCTGAGCACATCTGTAACCACACAACTGACTGGCAGTAGGGCTGTGCTAACACTCCGAGGCTATCGCTCACAATTCTGCTATCTTCCATTGTTTAAGCTGGCAAAGTTGTCAATATCATGTCTGTGTTTACTTTGATGTTCGCCTCTTTCTTTCCTGTAGATGGTCATGGCTACTGAACTCAGTGCCTCACATATGCTGAGTTAGACACCTAGCCCCATACATGGCTTTATATGTATTACACCACTTTCTTTTTGCAAAGCTTCAGAATATCAACTTTATCTTTAATTCCTTTGAAGTCTATAACAATATGCCTTGTATTAAGTCTAAATATTCGTATACAGAACGATCTGGAGAGCATGGTCTTTACAGTCTAGGAAACTATTACATTATTTAAAAAACTTTCTTTCTTTGTTTCTTTCTTTCTTTTTTTTTTTTTTTTTGAGGCAGGGTCTTACTATGTAGTTCAAGCCAGTCTTGAACTCACTCGGCAGCCCAAGCTGACCTTGAACTAGCAGGGGTCCTCCTGCTTCAGGGTTCCAAGTGCGTGGTGGGATCATAGGCGCCTGTCAGACACTCCTTTTGTTTGAATTCTGAGACTACTGAGTCAATTCTCAGTTTTCTTCTGTTTTCTATCTTTGTCTTTTTATTCTACTTTCTGAAAAATGTAATTGAGTATATCTTCCAAGTTTCTAGTTAAAAAATTAATTAAATCTTACAGCTTAAAATTCTGTGTTTTTCTTCAGTTTTCATTTTGCTATTATCCTGTTTTTGTTTTCCAGATACAACACATATTTCTTCTTTACCAAGGATACTAATCAAAATTTGTCCCAGATTTTCTGTTCACAGCATTATACCTCTTTCCTCCAGGTTCTCTTACTTGGGTATATTTCATTTCATGGCTGAGATTTTCCATCATCAATAGTAATTCTTGCTGCATTTTTAAGAGTAAGGCATTAAAGCCTTTTATCATAGAGTGATGGGCCAAAAGTTGCCTTTGTTTTTTTGTTTTTTTCTTATTTTCTGGGGGAGGTTGAGGGGGCAGGGTCTCACTATATAGTTCAGGCTAGTCCAAAACTCACTGTGTAGCCTCAGCTGGCTTCGAATTTCTGGCAGTCCTCCTGCCTCAGCCTCCTGAGTGCTGGGATTATAGGCGTGTGCCACTATGCCCAGTTGCTTTTGATTTCCATAAGCCGAAATGTTGGCATTTTAGGAGTCATTTCTCTCTGGCTATTATTACAAAGTTCTCTTGAATTTTAACAAAGTGGCAATAACAGAATGACATTAGCAGTATTCAAAAATTCAGTCATTAGTCTCAATCTATGAAGGAAAAATATTACAGACCATATAATAATCATACAAATATCAATTTTCCTACCATCTAAGTGCAGTATACTATGGATAAATACTATCAGTTTGGGAATCAAGAGAAAAAAATCTGCACTAAAGACAAAAATTAAACTACTGCATTCTTAATAGAAGAGGCTTTCTGAAAACAGCAGCTTTTGCCACTATGCATTTTACTTTACATCTTGTGTGAGAGAAGTATGGAAAATTTTAGAAAACAATTCATTTTTGATTTCTACTTTGTCTCATTTAGCTATTAGACTAAACTTTAATGAGTAACATAATTTCCAGAGAACTTATCTCTGTGATGTTAAATAGAACAGTGGCAACATTCAGCTGGAAAAATAATACTATACTTAAAAAATTTCATGATAAAACAAATTTTTTCTTTAAAATAAATATCAAAATTGCATTTAAAAAATCATAAAAATTGTAAGTTGTAAGACTATTTTTCTAGACTAAGGCATGTGGAACAGAAAAAAATATGTAAATAATTTTCAATTAGCTAGTTTTACACTTGCCTTTTAACTACTCCTGAGGAAAACAAATTCACATTAGAAAAAAAAAAAGTAATATACAACAACAGATAATGAGATAAGTCTATTCCCCAGGAAATTAAATCAATGAATCAATCAGTTTTGGAAATTGCATGAGAAATGCTACAGAAACTAGGAAAACTGGTTATTGTAATAATCTATGAAATGGAATGAACTTGGCAATAGATGATGGGGCATTCCCAAAGGAAAGTCCCTGAACGATTTTTCCCCATCCTTGTTTTATTTCAGTTGAGCTCAGATTTATGCAACACCTGCTTACTTTGGCCTTAAGGTCCACTGAAAAAGAAAAGACAAACCTGTAAATGAATCATAATAAAGGTTAAGGAAAGGAATGTTCAAACTGTGTGTGTATTTGATAATCAATACAAAACATGGACTGATAATATGCAGTGGGGAACAGATTACTATGAATTAGTGACATACTAGTAAATATTTAAAAGAAGCAGTTTAATTTATTTCAAAGTATGTAAGTATGTAAGTATGCCAGTCTTGTCCGGTCCCAGAATGTTGTCCGCTGGAGCCCCCCTTTCTGTGGAATGGCTCCACTCCTGTCACTCACTACAGGTCGATGCAGGCACCCTGCCGACTCAGCTCTCTGTTCGGCTTGCCGACCCCCCAATCTCAGTGTAACTGCGCCTCTGGTGAGTCCAAGTGGTGGGACCTCAGACTGCTTGGCAAGTTACTGCTGCGGCCGAAACACTGAACCTTTAGCTGTTCCAATAATAGCCCGGGACTATATGTTTGGTTGGTTCTTCTCACCTTAATTTCTTCTTGGGACGAGAGAATTCATCTCCCTCTGTTTGGGGCTCCCCGCTCTGTATTATGTTGAATTCTAAGTTGACTATCTCAGGGAGCCTCTGTAGCCTGTTGTTATCTATCCATCATCTTTGTTGCCTCTATCAAACAATATGCTTATAATGGGTTAACAGTGTATACTGTCTATACTACATCCAAGATAAATCTGTTAAAAGCAGGAAGAAACAAAGCTTTCTAAAGACCCAAGGAAGGCAAGAACTCTCCATAATGTATTCTAAGAACTCTCAATAGTTGAACTTTTGACAGGTAGTCAAAGGAATTAAGTAAGGACAAAGAGGGCAAGAGGCAAAGCCGTTAAAGGCAAGGAAGACTGCGAGGAATTCTGTTCAGAGTGTGAAATCAAAGATTAAAGATTTAGACTTATTTCTCCAATGCAATCACATGACAACAAGGAATGATTTTATCTATGCTGAAAGAGGAAACTTAAGGAGAAAGGATTCAATATTTGCAAGTCAAAACTCTTCAGCAAATCTTAAATTTATTTTCATAATTTTGTGAGAAACAATCTTAAGTGACCTGGGCAAAAACCAGAAAGAACCCAAACTTTACAGGATGATTAAAAAGCCATTATCATTAGGACAAGAAAGAGTACATAATATGGGCTTAAGAGTTTGTTCCTAATCTTTTTAACAAGAATAGCTGGGAGAAAAAAATTTCCCTAAAAGATGTTCTATCTTTAACTAGCCATGTGCTCTTGGGCAAGATATATAGCTTAGTATGCTTCAATATCCTCGTGCAGAAGGCCTAGTAACAAGTATTCATGGGTAAGATAAACGAGACACTGCTTAAGATGGCACCTGCCACACAGTGCTTAAAGTGCACTAGTTGTTATGAAGGTAACCTTGTCAGAGTGATGATGATACTTCTCATTTATTATAGAAACACTAAGTACCAGGGAGTAGGTCCACAACCATGATTTTATTTAATATAATCTTATAAGATAGATTCTATTTCAGTCTCCATGACAAATGGTTAAAATATCATTAGAGAAATAAACTTGAGAGAGAGAGAAAGAAAGAGACACAGAGAGAGAGAGAGGGATGGAGGGAGAGAGATAGAGACAGAGACAGAATCACTCATAGTTACAGAATTGGAACATCGTACAGCAGGGTCTAATCTGAAGCTTGTATCACTCCCCAGCCAGTCACTCTTCCGTACCTATTTCTTAGATGTTCTCATTTCACTTACATTCTACAAGTGTTGGCTAATCTTAAGTTCAAACAAAACAAAACATTATTAATAATAATGTTTGTAGAACAATTCATTGCAACACAGTAAAACTTGCTTGTATTAAAAAAAGAATATTTTAAAGAAAAGGTAGTTATGGTCTGAAGAAGTTAAGAGATTTACGTAAGGTCATCAGATTACTGCTGATGAAACAGGGATTCAGAATCAAACTTTCCAGTCCCTTCTGGGTTCTTTACAATACTGTCTTCAGACTATGGAGGCACCTTAAATCCTAAGTGTCTACTGGTTAAATTTATTTTTCCTAAGAAACTTTCCTGTTGTCATTATCATCACTTAGCAAGAAATCGGTGGGCACATTTACTGCCAATTGCACACAGCTCAGAAGGAGGAACTGGCAATAACAACAGAAGAAAGAAACTGGTATGCAGAACCAGG